TTTTAGAAAGAAACTGGCAACCTAGTGAGCTGCTGAATTATTTAAACAACCAAGAAAGGGAAGTTTGCTAGCAGTCCACTAGAGAGAAATGAGAACTTCATCCAACGAGCTTTTCTGTCTTACTTGCATAGACCTCTCACTACTAAGAATTTGCATTTTTCAGGATCCAATGGCTTTTATTAAAATAACCTCAAATACAGAGAAATTGAGAAAATGGCTGAAGTTGGGTAGGATACTATATCCTCACATAGAAATATGGCTTGCAGTTTTCCTACCCCCAATCTCAATTAAATGGTTTTTATTATTTTTAAAATATAATCATCACTCAAGGATATGTTTATTGATTTCAGAGAGAGAGGAAGGAGGGGCAAGAGAGAGGGAGGGAGAGAGAGAGGAACACTGACCCACTGCCTCCCGACTGGGGAGCAATCCCGCAGCCTGGGTCCGCGCCCTGACCAGCAGCCCACAGCCTTCCAGTGCACCGGGCTACGCCCCAGCCGACAGCACTGGCTGGCCAGGGCTAAATTAAATGGTTTTAAAGCAGATTTCCAATGTGTTTATTGAAAAACTGTACTAGGCAGAGATATCCATTTGGAAATTTCAGGAAAGTTCTTAGTATAGAGTCCAAGGATTAAACAGTCCTGCAGCAAACTGAGATCTGAATTTCTGGTTGTATTTTTTTTTCATTTTTTGATGTTTGATATGACTAATAAGGTGGTTAACCATAATGGAGTAGGGAACAAAAAAGTCACTTAGAATTTAATTTCTAGGACAGTATTCTGGAATGTCTAAGAAAACAGAGACATTCCAAAAGAAACACGAAAAATACACTGGACCCCACTGCAAACAGTTAGAGCAGAAGTCACTAAGTGCTAAAACTGTCAACCTGAGTGTTAATTTGTATAAAGCTTGGGAGTGTGTAAGAGAATCAGATGAATGCATAAAAACAAATAAAAGATAACTACAGTAATAAATTTTGAAGAGCCAGAATTATGCCCTTAAATTTTTACATCTTAGGCTCAGGTTAAGCTTCATTGACAGTCTAGGGCAACTGGGGAGCATCCAAGGTCTTGCTCCCAGACTCTGTGGTCAGTTAGGCTCAAATACACTCTTGTAAAAAAAAAAAGTCTAGGACAACTGGATATAACATAACAATCAGGGCTGAGAAACAGCAAGGCTTCTCTTTAGCAACATTTCTCCAAATTGTTATTTCTTTCCCATTAAAAAAATTCTTTCAGAAAGAAATGAGGATTCTATTAAATATTAGGGCAAAATTTAAAATTGAAGGCATTGAGTGTCGATTGTCATAGGCATTACTTATTTACACTCACTAACTTATCCTCAAATAAGCCTGCAACTCCTGAAAAAATTATTTTAAAAAATTTTAATGCCTTTGAGTTCTCGGTATATACTAATAATTGTCAGAGAAATGAATTTCATATATATAATGTCCTCCGTATTCAGTCAAAGATCAATACTTTTACCAACTACCATCACCTCAGAGTGACAGCTTGAAGTTGGTAACTCAGCTGCTAAAGAAATGAAAAATATTTTTTAAATGCATGAGCCAATCACAAATTCCTCATCAGTCAGCTCTTCTGGAAGGAAAACTAAAGAGCATTTCTGGATAAACAAAATATCAATGCAAACATTCTAAAGCCACCTTGCTGAAATATTGTGCTTTTCCCCTCAACCTTCAGTCTGTGAGAGGCAGACGAGGGCTCAATGCGCAAGTTCCGATCTTGTCAAAACCAACCGTTCAGGACAAAATGAAAAGAAGTATCAAGGTAAATGTGCAAATAAAACTGGTGCTTAAAGCATGTTCAACACCTAAGTCCCTAGGACAAAGGGGTCAGAACTTCCTGGCAGAAAACAAGCCAAGTAACTGCACCTGTTTTTCCCACTTGTCTTTAACGAGATCTTGTTTATTAGCTTGCACACACACACACACACACCAGAGACGGGACCAAGACACGGAAAGGCTGCGAGCTAACAAAAATCACCACGTACTGAGTTTCCCAGTCTTCCGGTTTTAACTGTTTCCTTTATAGGAGGCAACAATCAATTCCTGTAGAAAATAAGTTATCGACACCCTTTTTCAAGTAACAGTCTGGATATCTTCACCCTCACCAAACAGGCGTAACTGTCTTAGGCTGCACGTGTTAGAGAACCTAGCACTCAATCTGAGAGCTTGGCACTCGCCTCATGTTTAGGGCGTGCCGATGTATTTCTTGCATCTGTCTGATCCGGTCTTTCTGCCACATTAAGTTTTGAGGCATAGGGTATCTCTGGGTGCCGTGCAGGTACCGGTACGGGATCCTCACGTGGCAGGCCGTGGCTCGACAGCGAGGCTGCGGCATGGGAGGGAGCAGCATCCACCTCTTCCTCTCCGCGCAGTACCGGTAGGCTTCTTTCCGGTACTGCTTGTCGATATCATCGCTGTTTTTCCAGCCTCCAATAATGAAAACGTCATCCTTGTAATAGCAAATGGCTGCTCCTTCAATGCTTAGGACTTCTGGAGGTAAGCTTTCAAGGATCTCATCGGAAACTTGACTGGCGATTTTTCTGACTGCTTCTTCATTTTCTAAAGAATAACTCTTAGGACAGCACGATGCTGTCTGATAAAAGTTGGAATGGACCACGGACATTTGGAAAAAGCAGTAATTGTCAATAAGCGGCAGAGAGTCCACATCTTGCCACTGTCGAGTCTCCGTATCATAGCAAGTAATCACAGCCTTTAATCCGTCTTCGGTGTCCCGGTCCACAGGAGTGCGGGCAGCGATGTACACAAACCTGTCTTCAATGGCTAGTGCTTTGACGTCTCGAAGAATCTTTGGTGCCGATTCCAAGTTGTGCCACTTATCAAGCTCGGGATTATAAACAGTAACATCTTTAAAGCCAGGACTAAAGTTGCCGTGTCCTCCAATGCTATAGAGCTTCCCTCTGACTTGCGTTAGTCCAAAAGAATGCTTCCTTGTCATCAGACTACAAACATGTTCCCATATATTAAAATTTGGGTTATACCTTTCCACGGTTTTTGCAAACCCTGGTTCCATTGATCCAGCAACATACACGTGGCAGTCTGTTACCGCAACTGCATGTCCATCCAGGTGGTTATGAATATGGGGCAGATTGACCCATCTGTCTTCGTCCACAAAATACCCTACGCATTCACTTAAATAGTCCCCTCCTTCTGACACGCCCCCAATGACCATGATCACGTCCATGTTCTGCCCATAGCGAGGCAACAGCGAGATGTGAGAAGCGGGGTGCTGGAACGTGCCCGACTGTATATTCTCAGCTCTCAGGGCATGCCTCTCCACCGCATCGGCCACCAACTTGACACAGACTTCATTGTTGGCCACCAGCCTCTCTGATTTAACATGCCGAGTAAGGTAAGTGGGTTTCATCTGGGACAATCGGAGCAATTTAAAAAGTTCTTCAAAGTATCGCTCCCTCTCTTCAGGGTTTCTCTGAACCCACTTCAAAACCGTTTCAAAAAGAACCTCTTCGGAATCAACCGTAATTTCCAAGTCTGACAGCCAGTCTCGAATAAGGTGGAAAGGTAAAGTATAAAACTCCTCATCCTGGATCACTCTGTGGAAATTTCTCCGTATCATGTCGGCGGCTTTCAGAGCCAGCTGGCTCAGGGTATACATGTGAGCTAAGCTATGAATGGCCACGCAATTAGAGAGATGAAGTTTTTTCTTAAGAAATTCTCCACAAAATTCTTTTAAACGAATTAGCAGGAACCTAAAATCAAGAAAAAGAAAGCTTAATTTTCAAATGTGCATAAATACAGTGGCTGCATTTTGAGAGCATCTGAATTATACAAACTGAAATGGTCACCTTCATTCCACTTTATGTACAATATCTGAATTAAAGCAAATCCTCCTGAATTAAAATGGATTATGCTGAAAAGTATGTTTATAAGCATATATAAAACCATCTTTATATACGATCTGTTTTAAGTTATTTGTATTACGTAGTCTGTATAAAATTATACATTATACATAATATGTCTAATACACACACACAGTGGAGTTTTTCAATTATGTAAGGTTTTCCAGAAGTACAACCGTCCCATACTTTATTTTCACTTTAATTTGCCCTTGGCACAGACAGATCCCAATTCAAAGCTGCCTATGCCATCCTGCCTTAAGCCCTAGCCAGTCACCAGCCTCTTCTTGGATGCGGCAGGGTCTCAGTGGAGAGACTTTATTAAGCACTGACTGCATCATATAGGAACTGTGGCTCGGAGGGTGTTTGCTCAAGCATCAGAAGCGACAGCAGTGAAGGTTTCATGTCAGGTTTAAATCACTGCTCCACTTGACCTTTCTTCTGGGTCAGCAAATGAAGGGAGGGTGCTAGGGAGTGTGGGAGCACTTTGGGCCAAGCTGCATTCCATTAAAAGCAGGGGTGAAAAAACAAACTCAAACATCTGAAGAAGCCAGGAAATAAAACTACAACAATAAAAAAATAGGTTTGGGGGTGTGTGTGTGTGTGTGTGTGTGTATGCGCGCAGGACACACAGGTTTAAAAAAAGAAAGTGGTTTGGCATGTGACCGACTAGAAATTGCTTACCAAAATTTGTTTGAAGTTAAATTTTATTTACTTATTTATTTGTTCATTCATTCATTTATTTTACTATGTAGGAGGCTTTTCAGAGGAGAAGACGACTCTGTCTTCTCAGGAGACAAAGCCTCTGCTTTGCTTTACGAGGCGGATAGCAACCCCAAGCCACAGCTAGGCTGGGACCTGCGCGGGCCTCAATTAAATTTTATTTTATTTTTTTAAAGATTTTATTTATTTATTTTTAGAGAGGGGAGAAGAGAAAGAGAAACATCAATGTGTGGTTGCTTCTCATGAGTCCCCCCACCGGGGACCTGGCCCACAACCCAGGCATATGCCCTGACTGGGAATCGAACCAGTGGCCCTTTGGTTTGCAGGCCGGCACTTAATCCACTGAACCAGGGCTGAAGTTAAAAAAAACTCTGCCAGGCCTCCCGGTGCTTAGCACAGGCTGTGTTCTCACGCGGCCTGGACAGAAAGAGGAGGCAGAGCAGGCCCACCCCCTGCACGCCTCAGCCAGGCCCTGTGCCTGGTCTGTATTGTGAATGGGGGGACATGGAAGGAAAAAAAAGTCAAAAACCAAAAACCAAACCAAACCAAAACAAACAAACAAAAAACTCTGGACCAATTAAACTGTGAAGATTTGAAGTCCTCATTTGCATGAGGACAGACCAATCAGAGACCAGAGCAGGGACTCCCGTCCACATAAGCCAGCTTCCTTCTGCTCTAAGCGCAAACTTTCCTTTCCCACTGGAACTCGTGTGTGCTGGGCTGAGCTGAAACACCAAAGCTGTCTCATTAAACAGCAAGCAGCTCAGAAAGGATCAGAGTAGAGCAGCACAAAGCAGACCATCAGGGAGCAGAGCTGTCTATTTGGAAAGGGGCCTGGCCGCATGGCTCACACCCGCACTGTATCACAAGTGAGCTGCTGCACAGCCCATGCTGTTTTCACAGCTGTGCTGTATCACAGTCGAGCTGTTTAGCACTGAATAGTTTTCTTCTTCACCGCACCCCAAATTGGGGATTCCTGTTGGTGTTGAATTCCTGCCAATGACCATGAATGACGCTATCTAATAATGATATAAAAATGGTTAAGATAGGCCCCCTTCCTCCTCTTCAGGGAAGATACCATCTTCGACATAAAACAAAGGGAGTGGTAAGAGCTCTAGTAGCTCCCAAACATGCCTGGGCGCCACGGTCATAGGTTCCCAGGCTTCCCCCTCCTCCAGCCCCGGTATTTGTCAGGCACTCCAGGTAATTCTAATACATATTCCAAGTGTTTGGAACCAATGCTCCACGGAAACAACAGCACATACGAGGTATTTGCCATGTGATGGGCATGGCATACTGCACTTCCTGTTATTTACGCTGTAAGTGCTCTACAAGGTAGGTATGACCAACAGAGTAAGTGGGGGGAGGAAGGGGGAGGGAGGGGGTCCTGCCTCAGAGCCGATCAGATGAGATGTGAGGTGGCAGGGCGCTGTGGAACAGTACCCAACACAAGGCAGCTGCTCAGCAGCTGACAGATGGTGAGGAGTTAGATTTTAAGTAAAGTGCCTGGGGTGTTTTCTCCTCCCCCTTACCCCCGACTGCCCAGTAAAGCAAGGAAAAATCTGAAAAACACATGCTCACTGACAGAAGCAAACACTACATGAGTGAATGTGATGAGCCTTGGATACCCATTTTTATTCCCCCTCCTCCCCAGCCCTCTCAGATCTGTACCTGCCCACCCCGCCCCACCCACTAATGGATGGCCCAGCCCAGCACTACTTTGAGGAAAGGGAAGCCGTCAGGTGGAACCATCATCCTCCCACCACCCAAGCTGACTACAGCTTTACCCTAACTCTGCCTCCCCAGTCCAACTCGTCCACTTTTAATATGGCTTCTATCCCCTTCTTGGTTTCAAGGACTTTGCTCCTGCAATTATTTCCCTGCTCCTGTAACATCAATTTCTCCTCTTTACTGATTCATTTTTCATCAGCACACAAACGTGCTCTAATACCCTCTGTCCTTGAGAGGGGGAAAAAGATCTCCCTGGACTCCTCTGCAAACATTTCCATGTGTATCATTTTTCTGATCCTTTGTGCAGCAAGACCTAATTTAAACGGCTCTTGTCCCTGCCTGGGTAAGTCAGTTGGTTAGTGTCCTGATAAGCCAAGGTTTGGAGTTTGAGCCCCATCAGGGCACATACAAGGATCAACCAATGAATGCATGAATAAGTTGAATAACAAACTGATGTTTATCTCTTCTCTCTTAAACCAATTAAAAAAATGTATTTTAAAAAATCCCTGATAGCTACAGGGTAGCTCAGTTGGTTAGAAGTATTGTCCTGGTATGCCAAACTTGTAGGTTTGATCCCAGGTCAAGGTACATACAAGAATCAACCAATGGCCCTGGCTAGTATGGCTCAGTGGGTTGAGTGCTGGCCTGCAAACTGAGGGCTCACCGGTTCAATTCCTGGTCAGGGCACCTGCCTTGGTTGTGGGCCAGGTCCCCCCCTCACTGGAGGCATGCAAAAGGCAAACCTATCAACCAATGTTTCTCTCCCTTTTCCTCTCTAAAAAATAAATAAAATCTTAAAAAAAAAAAAAGAACCAATAAATGCATAAGTGAAACAACAAATTCATGTCTCTCTCTTCCTTCTTCTAAAAAAAAAACACACAATATATTTTTTTTATTTAAAAATGGCTCTTGTCAACGAATGCCATCAAGGACCCATCGCCAATTTCGATGGCCACTTCCCACAGACAGGGCTGACATGACTGGCTCCGCCCTCCCAGGCAGCCTTTCTTTCCAGGCTTCCATGAGCTGAGTCTTCTCTGCTGGTTCTCAGTCCCACCCCCTGGCTTCTCGACATACACTCTCTTCCTAAGTAATTCCATCCAGTCCCATAGCTTTAATGATCTTCTATCTGCTCATTTCCTCCCAATCTCTAGCTCCCCATGCTCTGAAATCCAACCGCCTACTCAGACCTCTGGACCCACACCAAACTCCCGATTTTTCTCCCAAACTTGCTTTCCAGCAGTCTTCCACATGTTAATAAATAACAACTCCAACTTTCCAACTGCTTGGACCAAAAACTAGCAGTTTTTCCCTCACACCCCACATCAAATCCATCAGCAAATTCATCTCCTCTTGTCTTCAAAATGTTGACAGAACTGAAGCACTTCTTAAAGGTGTTTACTCCTCCCTCCTCAATCCAAGTCTCCACCACCAATGCAACAATCTCCTGTACTGGGCCCTCTGCGTCTAGCCCCTTCCCTGCGGCCCCCTTCTTTTTTCAACAAGCAGAACCCTTAAAATGGTCCTGCATCATCCCTCTGCCTCATACCTTCCCATCCCATGCAGAGTAAGAGTTCAAGTCCTGCCACAGGCTGACAAGGCCCTATGGGGTCTGGGTCCATTCCCATCACCGCGCGGAGGCCCCTCCTGCTCCCCTTCGGCATCCCTTTGTTCCAGCCACAACAGCCTCCTGCTATTTCTCACCACCCAGACAAGCTCCACCTCAGGGCCTTTATACCTCTGCCCCCACCTGAAACACTGATTCACCTTGACTCCCTCGTTTTTTTGCAAAATGTCCTCTTTGTAAGGATTCTCTATTCACTGTAAAAAAAAAAAAAAAAAGTTTCTCTCCACCAAAAGTTCTTCTTCTTTCTATCTTTAAAAAAAAGATTTTATTCACTTACTTTTAGAGAGAAGAGAAGGGAGAAAGAGAGGGAGACAAACATCGTGTGTGGTTGCCTCTCACGTGCCCCCTAATGGGGACCTGGCCTGCAACCCAGGCATGTGCCCTGACTGGGAATCGAACCAGTGATCCTTTGGTTTGCAGGCCCAAGTTCAATCCACTGAGCTACACCAGCCAGGGCTCCACCAGCACTTTCTATATGTCACGTTTTATTTTTCATCATAACCATGACAATCACCTGATGTGCTATCTCACTTATCTGGTGTCTGTCTCCCAATGCCAGCGCAATGAGAAAAGGGCCTTTCTGTCTGTTTTGTTCACCACTAAATTCCCAGCACCTTAAAACCCAGTGTCTGATCAGGTGCATAATAGGTACTCAATAGGTATTTGCTAAAATACTGTATCTGAAACACAATACTGCCCAAGCAGGCTCCTCCCAACTCTGTAAATGGCATTCACCGGACTCCTGCCCAGCCTCTGGGGCATTCCTCCCTGCCCCTACAATCCATTTTCCACTACAGCAGAATAATCTTTTTAAAAATTTAAATCAAATAACTTCTTTACCCAGCTTCCCATCATCAAGAAAATCCAAACTCCTTATACCAACGCATTTCACACACCCTCCTCTCCCTTATCCACTATATCCAGCTCCACTGACTTTTTCTTTTTTAGAACTGGATCTTGCCTGAGGGCCTCTGCGCTACTTGCCTGGAAGGTTCATTCCTCATCTTTGCTGTACAGAGATCCGTTTAAATGTCACCTACTCAGAAAGGTATTTCCTCTAACCAGTCACTATCCTTTCATCCCCCTGCCCCACCTTTCATCCCTTTTTAACGTCAACACCACACTTAGAAGTTGGGGGGGCTTTGCTTTCCACTGCCTTTGTCCCTGCACCTGGAATCTGAGCTCCGCTCACTGGACTGGTCAGCGACATCCTCAGCGCCCAGCGCTGAAGGTGCCACACAGCAGGCACGCAGGATCAAACGATTCCATTTTCTCAGGGTTCACCCGAGCCCACCTGTAGGCACTGCCTTCCCCACCTGCGCCGTCGTAGCTGGTTGCAGGCCTCCGCAGGGAGGCCAGCGTCACCACCTCTCACCTCCCCTGCGTCACTTGAGTCCCCTGCCTACCTGTCGGCCAACTCCAGCACCTCGTGCACACTGCCCGTGCTGACGCGGATGCGCCCGGTGTACATGTATTCGATAACGGCTTCCACCGTGTCGGGTTCGGGCCCGGGCTCGGAGCTCCACTTGCGCATCTCCACTCGGCCTGAGCGGGACTCGGAGAACTGACCCGAGAGCAGGGGCGTGAAATACTCGGTGGCGGCGGCCAGCACCGAACGGTGGGCACGGAACTCGCGGCCTCCGGCACCGCCAAAGCACAAGGTAATATCGCAAAAGAGGCCCTGGCGCCGCTGCTCGTTCTGCCTCCACGACAGCTCCGAGCAGTGAGAGCTGCACTCGAAATCCTCGGCCTCCGGGCCCGGATCGCCCCCGCTCGCCTCCATGGCAGATAAGCAGGGCCCGGGCCCGAAGTCCACCGTGCCGCTGCCCCTGACTTCGGTGGCCAGCCCCGCAGAGCCGGCGGCAGCCGTTTCCATGCTCTCCATCTCCAGGACCTGCAGGGATGCTGCTGCGGCTGCTGCGGCCGCCGCCGCTACTGCCGCAGCCGCCATCTTGACGCCGCCGCGCCGGGCCGCCGCAGTCTCTGAACGGTCCAGCCGTTGTGGGGCGACACAGAGGAATTCTGGGAATAAATAGTGGACGCTGGGCGGAGCCAGTCGGCAGAGGGGACTGCGCAGGCGCTCCCGCGCCTGCCAGGTTCCGCTCTACGTCGGGTAAGCTGAACGCCAGTGTTCTCGTCCTGAGGTCTGC